ACTTTTAAAGAACGACTGTTAGATGGAAACTGTATATTTACTTTGCAAAATTTATGGTGATTTATGGTAGTGACCGCAAAAGGTGGGTGAAAGCAACAGCCATTCGTACAGTTAATGACTTGAGTAATTCAAGTCCGGTGCAAAAACGCATGATCGCCCGGTGCGTTCCAGCCTGGTTTATCTTTCCGTGCATGCATCTATCACCACATCATCACTGCCTTCAATACTCATCCTTGCTATCACCGGGAAAAAGCCAGGCAGCAGGCCCGAGTTGCGCTGCAATTTAGCGTCCGGATGAACGAACTAGTTGTTCGTGTATCCCTAGGTGGACCCGGGGACAGACCTCCGCGGTAGAGGAGTTGGCCGAGGAGAAGGGCGGGGGGGGAGGGGTAGGGTTCTCTCTCATCCTGGAGCCAGGCCGCGCGAGGGAGCCCCATCGCTGGCTCGGCTCGCAACAGCAGCCTCGTCTCGCGTTTGGCATAATTCGAGGCTCCGCCCTCGTTTATCGATTTCTGCGGTGCGTCGCGGCTCGCGAGCGTTCTGTTTGTGCGTGTGGTACTACCAGCTGCTGGCCCGGTGCCACGTGCTCCTGCAAGCCCCGCACCCGTTTTTACGCGACTTCGCGTTGGTTCTGTGGCAGTGCGTAGAGGCATCGGACCTGCCACGAGCCGGCGACAGCACGAACCTCGTACTGCAACGGTTGCGATTTTATCGGCTTTTCGATCATTTAGGAAAATTCGTTGTTTTTTCGGGCTCCTGTTGTATCCTGAGGACCGCGAATGCGAAAATTTGCATGACTGTTGTTTAGCTTGTGTGTATGTATGTATGTTGTATGTGATGTATGTATGTATGTATGTATGTGATGTATGTAATGTATGTATGTAATGCATGTATGTGATGTATGTATGTATGTATGTATGTATGTATGTATGTATGTATGTATGTATGTGGTTCGTGCTTTGAGGATATGTTGTGTGCTAGGGTAATTTTTTGTGGCCAAGGTCAACTTTTCGGATCCCCCGCACTGCCCAAAATCAATGCATTTAGGAGGGAAAAGTTGGTGCGACTTAATGGACCGAAACATTCTTATTCAGTTTTTTAATCCGATTTATCTTATTCTCCTTCCTTTTATTCCTTCCTTTTAACCTTACTTTTTACATATCACACATCATCTAAAATTAAAATTATAATTGATTTCTGTGGTACAGTGCTCGATATCGGTGGTGCTGTGACTTGGGTGCGGGGAGGGAAGAACGGGGAACACTGTCCCAGAAATGCAACCGACACCTTCGTGGTTCTCGGCAACCGTGTGGTATTTCATGTTTCACTTCGATATAAGCCAAAATTGGTAACAGAGTCCTGGTCTCTGGGTGTGAGGGCGCAATCGTACTACTCTGTATTATTTATATTCATTGTCGTCTGGTAGCGCTTCTTTGCGAGTGACCCAGCAACTGTGCTTCTGTTTGGACTGTTACTTACTTAGGAGCTGTGCGATCGAGTAACTGTGTGCAGTTTAGCTTGGTGCAGACGCGGATAATTATTGCTTGGCTTCGAGCAGACTGCGATGGCCGACGAATCGAATGTATCATCAGGCGGCAGTGCCACTGCGGCGGCCGGTGGCGACAGCGCCAACAACAGCAGCTCTGCAGCACCAGCGGCGACTTGTGCGCAACCGGCAGCACCTCGTGCCACCGCGGAATACATCAAGTTGAAAGTTGTTGGACAGGTATGTGCTTACATACGCGATATTAATTGAGTCTGCGCTGCAGTGCATCTCGGGAGCTGTGCTTCCGAAGTGCGCTTGCTGATAAGCCAAGTTCGCCGGCAGGCCGACCGCCAGGATAGGGCAGCATTGCGCAAACAGATGAGGAAGTTACTAGTGAACTAGACTGCCAAGTGGTCCATCGATCACCGCAAATTTTGGTGCGAGGAAGAAGAAAATTTGTTTGTCTGCGAATTCGCTTTTTATTATGCGTTTTGTGCTGTGTAACAGCAGTACAAAACGCATATTGTCACCGGGTTGTGTGTGTGTGTTTTTGTGTGTGTGTGCCCGCAACTTTCAACTCGGGAACCACAAAAGCTAGGAAGCTGAAAATTTGGGGGAACTTTCCCCACCCACGTGTGACCCCGCAAATTTAAATCCAGCTTCCCCGTAACCGCGTGTAACACATATGGCCCCGTGAAAGTTTTTTACCCGGGAACCACGGAATCCAGGAGGCTGAAATTTTAAGGTAATGACCCCCGCCCACGCTCAACCTTGCCCAATCAAATTCAGCGTTCCCACGCTCTTGGGTACCACCTACGGGCTAATGAAATTTTTTTACGAGTAAATTATTATCTCGGGGATCACGGAAAGATATTCCACCCTTCAGGGTTTCAAATTCAGCTTTCATGCGCTGGTCCGTGAAATTTTTAACTGTTTTCCGATGTCTGAACTATTTTTACATACACTAAAGTACAAAGCAGTGAAAAATCATTAGCAGGCAATCGTTCGATGGGCTGAACTGCACAAAACGCATAATCGCACCGGTTTGTCTGGTGCGCGTTGCTATTTATTATTTTTAGGATTCAAACGAAGTGCATTTCCGCGTAAAGCATGGCACAGCTTTGGGCAAACTGAAGAAATCCTATGCCGAACGTGTAGGTGTCGCTGTCGGCTCTTTGCGTTTCCTGTTCGATGGCCGACGTATCAACGATGATGATACTCCGAAGACTTTGGAAATGGAGGAAGATGATGTTATTGAGGTGGGTTCTAATTCAGTTAATGTGAGGGGCAAGTTATTCCCGCAGGACAACAGCACCTCTTTCGCACTACATAAATTGTCAAAATGGCAGTCGCGGGATTCGAATGGGAGTTTTTACCGTATTAGCTAATGTGAACTTGCTCTCGTTCGATCAGATTATCATCTCTGGTTCAAATGATTTCAAGGCTTTCCGAAATGCAGCGAGGTATGTCAAAATTAATAGCCAAACCACTCCTCTTCCCAAATCCTTCTTGCCCTCCTCCCCTCCTCTCCCCGT